CCGTCATTGTGTAGGTTATATAGCGCCAAATGGTAGAAACAGATTCTGCAAAACATTTGTGCCTGCCTGCCGAAGTACATGGTGTCATATTCAATAACATTAGGACCTGAAATATATCATGGTTCATGCTGTGTTCTGCTGTGACTTAATCTGGATGAGAGATCTACTGATGATGCTATTTGTCCCTAGTCTCAATGGAAAATGTTCAAAATCAAAATGCATAAGCATCACTCTCCTGATCCAATCACCTTTATTCCCAGAGTTCTGCTGTGGTTGGTTTAGGATTTCTGGTGTTGCCTTATCAGTTTTATATGTGTCTGCTTGTGGTGTGGGACACATAGTAGCATAATTGCTTAAGGCATTATGCTACAAACCAGATGTTTGCAGGTTCAATTCCAGATTATGTCATTGGATTTTTTTCAATTGACCTAATCCTTTCAGCCACACTATGGCTGTGGGGTCGACTCAGCCTCTAACAGAAATGAGTACCAGGAATCTTCTGGGGGGCAAACAGTGGCTGACATGTAAGGCTGACACCCTCACCACCAACTGTGAGTCAATTGTCTAGAAAATGTGGGAGCCTTGACATCTGACAACCCTATGGGCCTCCACAGCCTGTTAGGAGGGATAGCTTTTTTTATTTATGGTGTGTTTAAATACACCATAAATAGGCAGTATTTCCAGTAGCTCAGACTATGAGCATCGAAATATAGAATGATTGTGAATTAGAAATGATGTGGAAGGAAGCAGTTATTGCCTAAATTAAGGTACTGTTTTAGTATTTGCCTGGAGGGAAAGAGGAATACCATGAAAAGCATCAGAGTAGTCTGTATAAGCCAAAATTAAAATCAGACACCTTCCAGATGTAAGTTAGAAGCATTAATGCTTGAGCCAACGTTTGGCTTGTGGACAGAACACTAGTGCTGCTTCACTTGTGTTCCTTATACATTTTATTGAGAGTCAGCAAGTTGCCCTTGCAACTGGGTAGTAGGGTACAATGATATGAATTATTGAGCTATGCTAGGCTACTCACAAGAAAGAAAAAGGGTATAAATCAGGGCCAGGTAAGACATGTCATATGGTAGAGTTGATAAACAGTATCTGACAGACTTTGAGAGAACTGAGTCTCTTTAGAGGTGGATGGTGGTGTATGGCAGTCAGGGAATGGATGAAGTGTATAAATGAGTCTTCCTTTGGAAAAAATATTATATTTAAGCATCCTGTTGCTCTCTATAGGATAAATGATATAAACTCCATCCCAGGTGCAAACAGTATATTATATGTCCTTGATCTTGCTCTCCTTTACACTACATGTTTCGGCCTCAAACGGCCATCATCAGGTGTATACACTCGCATTGCTGTTACACTGCACTTAGTTTAAAATTTAACATTTAGAAACACATTGTTCCTTTCATTGTTATTATCAACATCTAGTTCATTGATATCTGTCTGATTTATAGATTATTTTACACACATTAATTTTGATTTCCCTGTAGTAGCACTATAAAATCGTTAGTTCTTATTTTAAAAATCTTTTAAAATTTTTCTCTAAATTTTAAAATTTAAAATTTAAAAATTGTTAGGGTTACTCGTCCTACTACACAGAGTAAGTACAAATAACAATATAAACACATAAGAAAACATTACATACATAAGATAATAATACAAATATTTGTATATTACAGATGACACCTGTACAGTGTGGAAACAAGAACTAGCCACTGCAGCACTTTCGACATAGGGCGAGTAACCCTAACAATTTTAAATTTTAAAATTAGAACTAAAGATTTTATAGTGCTACTACAGGGAAATCAAAATTAACGTGTGTAAAATAATCTATAAATCAGACAGATATCAATGAACTAGATGTTGATAATAACAATGAAAGGAACAATGTGTTTCTAAATGTTAAATTTTAAACTAAGTGCAGTGTAACAGCAATGCGAGTGTATACACCTGATGATGGCCGTTTGAGGCCGAAACATGTAGTGTAAAGGAGAGCAAGATCAAGGACATATAATATATTGTTTGCACTTGGGACGGAGTTTATATCATTTGTCATTTGGAAAAAATATTTCACTAGAAATTGTTTCATACATATTTGCTGATTCGTGGTTACTATGGTACATCTACGTACTAATATACTTCCTTGTGTTATATTGGCATCGAATGCACTACAAAAGGTAACATTTTCTCTTATTGTTCAGTCTCTTTATCTCTCTTATAGATATCTCTCACTCTACAACGTAGCGTATTATGCTTTGCTCTCATACCACATTCGTAACCTTGGTCCTGAAAGTTTGTATGCATTAGAGCTAAGTGATGGTTACAGTTTCTAACTTATTTTAGCTTCTAGTTAGACCCTGAGGCAGGTTAGACATGATGGCTGTTGCGTACCAAGCTCCTCCTCACCCAAGTTGCATCATGCTCTTTTAAGAAGCTCAGTGTATACACCTTTTCCTGCCTACCACTACACTGGGTTATACTGGCTAACAGTGATTAATCATTTTATAATCCCTGGTGACTGGGCGACAGTTTTGTGTTCTAGTGTAAGAACTTGGCTATGACTAAGTCTGTTTGATTCAGAAAAACTTTGCAGAATGGCACTTCGAGCCATAACATGTGCCACATCTTGCATGATACCAGTGCTATCTCTGTATGGGTCCCCAGCAGTTCACTGTGACAGCCTAAGTAGGCAGTATGAGACCTACACTGTGCAAGCATCAGTATCTGCCTTCTAGCTGGATATGCAGCCTGTACAACTTCTGGTAGTGACTGTATATGTATTTACAGAAATTGTCAGCTCATACCATAGCTTATTATTCCATACAGTAAACAGAGTTGAATCTCACACACTTCTTTAAAAAAAAAGAAACACTGCATAAATTGTGTTGTACTCTTGACAACTGTAGTTATAGTTGTGGTATATAAATTACTATGTTGAATGAATGAATGAATGTATAAGGGATGGGCCTTCTCAGCTCTTGCTCCACGACCTACAGTGATCTATAGTCACTTTGTTCCATAAAGTATTGACCCAAGTGACATAATCTTAAATAAGCTAAGGCCTCACATTCACACAGGATATGTGTGGCTGTTTCATTTTCTTCTTGACACCTCTCACAAGTGGGACTGTTACTTAGTCCCAATTTGAAAAGATGTCCTTTAAGGTGACAGTGTCCCACCACTCGTCGTAGCTGGTTCCTGTTTAACTTCAACAGTTCCTTTGCTCTTTTATCAGAGGGTCCTTGTATGAGTCCCTTTGCTTGCCTGACTCCAGTCAAGGATCCCCAGTATTTCTTGTGCTTCATATTTGTCCAGTCCCTGATTGCTTTTCTGGCAACTCCTATAGAGATGCCACAGGCTGGTTCAGGTCCTATGAACGGATGTTCAACTTCAATCTTAGCCATTTGATCTGCTGTTTTGTTTCCAGCAATACCCTCATGCCCGGGTACCCATATCAGTTGTACCCTGTTATGTTTGGCAAGTTCCATGAGGGTTTGGTGGCAATTCAGACAAATTTTGAGTTTATCTGGTGTTTGTCAAGCGCCTTAAGTGCAGCCTGGCTTTCAGACAGAATGTAGATGTTCCTATCAAAATTCTCCATGATACATGCCTTAATGGCATATACTTCTGCCTGGAATATTGTTGTGTACTGCTGAAGGCTGAAACTAAGTTTCTGCCTTGTGGCATAGCAGTACCTACCAGCTCCAGTTCTGTTATTTATCTTGGAACCATCTGTATACCAGATCAGTCCCCCTTTTCTATTGGGCCAAAACTCTTCTTACCATTCACTCCTGTCAGGAAATCTGACTGTGAAGGGTTTTTCATATACATGTCTCAGTATCATTTTGTCGGGGCGGGTGGTAATGACACCATCCTCGGTGAGGTTGGCTGAACCAAGGCTGTGTCTTCGGTGGGTATGTATCATAGACCAGGGATGGGTTGGGACACAGGTTTGGAACACCTCCCTGTGATCCCGCTGGGCAGTAGTCTTGTGTGTCTGTATCAGTATGACCTTCCGTGGCTGGCGGCTGAGTTTCCATAAAAGGTGATGGCTATGAGACTGGAGCCTCCCACATGGCGGCATAATGACTCTTGGGTGTCACTACGGTGTACCTGGGACGAATGCGGGAGAGCACTCCTATGGGGGTAGCTACGGCTATTTTAGTTGTCTCCCTAGAGTACCGATAAGGTGCTGCAAGCCTTAGGGCTCAACACTCAAAAATTGTTTGACCAACTCATGTGCAGGGGTGGGAATGGGGAAGCTCAGAAGCAACCCCAGGGGCGATAATCTCGTGTACGATGCCCTGTTTGCAACCTCATGACTAACTGGTGTCGCACTCCCATTTATCGTCTGGGATACCCCTCTCCCCCCGAACAAGCACTCTTGGTCCTGGAGGCTTGCGAGGGTTGCATTTATTACAGGACCAAACCACATAAGCCAAGGTGTGAGGCATCGTGCTGAGGGCTGCATGGCACTGGGGGTGGAAATTAGCCAGTGTCTTTAACAATCCCCTTGGGGCACCAGGTGGCACCCCATTGTATTTATGCCTTCCACCCATATGGGGTGCTGTGGGTGGTGACCTTTTAAATCCCCATAACTCGTGGGACCAATATGAAAGGAACCAAAAAGAAAACCGGTCATAAGGACCTTAAACTGTTGAGGGACCCCCCCTCCAAGGGGATACCTACGTGAAATGCTTAAGCAGAGGGCTGGAAGCTCTTGTGAACCACTAAGGGACCCAGGTGCAGCCAGCGAACCTGCTGTTGAATTTTCAGCCAAAGGCATTGACGAACCAGTGGTTCAGAACCTTCCCGAGATAAAACCAAAAACTACTCCCCTGGGGGTCAATAATACTGACACACCACTGCAGGTAGCTAGTACTTCCAACATACCTGCAGTAGGAGGAGGACTG